TTCCTTATAAAGTAGAACAGCTCCTTCGCTCCCCACTCCTCAGGAAAATTGATGAAATGGTAGGATACACATTGTTTCAGCAAACCTTTATCATAGGCTGGCAGTCTGTTAGCGAAGTCCTTGAAGCCGGTCGCCGCTTTGCCATTGCCGTGTCGTCTCCTGTCTCCTCGAACAAACTCCATCGCGTCTCCGTTCCCTGAAAGTTAAAGTTTTCTAAATTCAACTTTTATGTCAATATTTACTAATTCAATTATTAAAATCTATTTTTTATTTTTTTTTTTAAAATTCAAATCGGCTTGTGGGGCTTCCTTAGATAGATATAAATTCAAGGATTCTATTAGACATAACATTTTGAGTATGAGACAGCTGAGAATTTCAATTAACTAAAAGAGGCTTGAATTAATATTATCTTATGATCTTATGTTGTGGCATGAACTAGAAGGAGATTAGGAGACCAAAAAATATCGAAGGAAACTAAGAAACTTGGCCCAAAATTGGCCCAACCCAATAGTCCACCCAAGTACGAGACACTCTTTATTTCTGTGGCTCCTTCCTGTATCCATACATGCAGTTATTGTTCTTCAATCTATCCAATTTTTCCGCCAAAAAAAGAAAGAAGAAATTACTCATTTGATCCTGATTTCATCGGAAAAATGATGTGATTTTTGTTCATTCTCAATGAAAGGAGATGGAACCTAATCAATCAGTTACATTTTAAGATTTTCTTAATAGGATGCGAAATCCTGCTTCTATAGATCTTGTTCTTATTTCACTCTGTACGAAGATTTTGTTCTGATGCAATTCCCAGGACAGATTCCCCAGCTCTTTCAGAAGGAATCAGTGCTTTAGCTCCAGAGCTTGAAGAAACACAATCAGATGCTAATGGGAAAGAAGGACAAGGTAAATGACTCTGTACACTTCACTTTGCGATGGTTTCATTATGCTCAATTATATTGGGTATCCATGGTTTTTGTTCATAGTTCCAACCAGTTGGCAAGCATGCACTCCCAAAATGACAATCTCATATCAAACTATATATTGAGAGTAAACGATTAATCACAAAAGTCACAACTGATCAAGTATTTGTGCACATGGCGGCTTGGAGAGTGAACATAGCTCTCCTCTTATTTTTATATGGTTGCAATATGTATTATTGACGATGTTGACAAATTTAAGAAGAAAAATCATCAAGCATTAATTCAGAGAGATTAAATTAGGACAGACGCGTGAGATTGGGATGCATTCAAAATCATGCGCCCTTGGAGCTGTCAAACCCGGTCGTTCATCCATATCAACAACATCTATCACCCTCTGTTTCTCCCCATCTGCAACCACCACCTTCCAGTCGAAGCACTGGATCATGGCAGCAAGGATCGTGGGTAGCTCTTGCATGGCCAAAGAAATTCCAGGACAGCCCCTCCTCCCACTACCAAACGGTAACAGTTGATGATGCAACCCTTTAACATCTATAGTCGTCCCCGAAGTCTCACCGTTTTCAGATTTCAAAAATCGCTCCGGCCGAAACGTGAACGGATCTTCCCACACCTTCGGATCCCTACCGATAGACCAAATGTTCACAAAAAGTAAGGCGCCTTCCGGGATCGTATATCCGCCGACTTTGCATTCTTGTGTTGATTTTCTTGAAACCATGGGGATGGGTGGGTGTAGACGAAACGTTTCTTTTATGATGGCATGGATGTAATGGAGACTAGGATTGTCAGATTCTTCTACAAGCCTGTTTTTCCCGATAACTTTGTCGATCTCTTTCTGTGCTTTCTCGAGTACTTCTGGATGGTTTATAAGCTCCGCCAGTGCCCACTCCAGTGCAATTGCTGTTGTGTCAGTAGCAGCCGTTAAGAAATCCTAAAATTCGTTTGAGAAACAGGAGTCATGAATGATAAAAAAAAAAAAAAAAAACCCAAATTATAATAATTGGAGAGGTTGGACATGGATATAATGCTGCACTTCGTGCTTGTGTTAATCTGTACATGTTTCTGCAATATGTTTTAAAAGTACTCTTATATACTCTAATAATAAAGTTTTTTATTAAAATATAAATTTTTAAGTAAACTTATGTCAAAAAACTAAAAGCTTTGAACTAATCCATTGGGTTATCCGAGTATAAGTGTTTGGACTCAAATAGGTCAAGAGTTCGATCTATTCCCACCTGCTACTAAAAAAAATATTCCTCCATCCTCCAAATTCTTTCATGTTTAAAAAAAAAACTAAAAAATACTTATAAAAATATTTAAATAACATTAGAGCATGGTGATTCATTAAAAAACTATTATATCATTCAACATTTTGTCTTTTTTGTATGTTCACTTGCAAAAACACTTTTCTAATTTTATATATATGTCGATAAAAAAAAAATTTGCTAATAATAACAAAAACACTTACCAAAATCAGTGCCTTTATATGATTTCTAGTTAGCTTTACATCCGATTTGTCATCCTCCAAAGCATTAAGTAGCATCTCAAGGAAGTCTTTCACCTCATCATCTCCATTATCCTTTCCTGAATTCCTCTTTATTTTTCTGACTTCCTCCCGATCTCTGATGATTTTCTCCAACAATGCATCATACCTCCCATGAACATCTTCTAATCTCTTTCGATGTCCTTGCAAGTCAAGATTCTTGCAAAACCATATAATATCAGAAACATTGAATTCTCCAAAGATCTTCGTCACCTCCCTCACAAGAGTCCTAACTCCATCTGCCTGGTCTCCAACCCCGGAACACCTCAAGCTCACCATCATCTGTGATATTACATTGTTGGTTAACTTTAAGAGTTCCTGAGTGAGATTAACGCTCTCCCCCGATTTAGATTTTTGAAGCAGAATGGCAACAAAGTGGTGCAATTCCTGTGTTCTGATTGGGAGAAACTGGTTAAGCGTCCGGCTACCCAAGAGCTCATATGCGCTTAATTTTTTAATGAATTTCCAGTAAGGACCATAAGGTGCAAAAGCGAAGGAAGAATGATATGTAAGATGATCAATGGCAAAATTGTGTTTCCGGGCTGAGAAAGTGAGTTCGTTAGTATTGAGGAGTTCTTTTGCAAGTTCAGGAGTGGAAGCAACCACGCAGGGGACAGAGCCAATGCGAAGATAAATTAAGGGACCATAGGAGGAGGATAGGTGGTGGAAGGTTTGGTGGATTAAGGGGCCTAGGAGATGGAGGTGGCCGATGACGGGTAAGGCCAGGGGGCCTGGAGGAAGCTTAGAACAGTTTATGAAAGATTTGATGAGGAAGGGAGTCAAGATGAAAAGGGTAGCGAAGAGGAATTGTAGCATTATGGCAGTCATCGCTCTTTAGTAGAAGATGAAGGTTGCACAACAACACTTTCACGGTGAGAAGAATATATATAGAGAATTAATTTTAATTTAGTTAAGGAAATGGAAAAATCAGTAGGTACTGACCTTTTAAATGGTCAGTAGGACAAACCCTACTAATATTAATATATTCAAGAAAACATATTTTTTTTAAGGGTTTTTTTAATCTAAGTTTTTAAATGTGTATTTATTGAAAATTTTAATATTAATTTATATAAAAATATAAAAAATTAACATTAATTTTAATACTGTTTCAAGATAAATGAATTTATTGCACAGTTATTAAAACTAATTTTAATTTTGAAAAATAATTGGTATATTTATTGGCTGAACATATTGATTAATATTTATTGATTTAATTATTAAAATTTAAAATAATAATTTTTTAATAAATATATTATAAAATATATTAAATTAAAAAATATATCAATTAATATTCTTTAATTTTGTATGTGGAAAGATTGGAAGAGAACAATTGGGATCATCACTTTTTCCACTGCAAAGATTGCTTCTAAAGTGTGGTAGGCCGTCCTAAGCATGACGATATAAGGCTTCTAGGCTAGCAGAGTCAATCTTCCCCTGTAAAATGAAAATTATGATATTTTCAATGAAAGGGACTAAACCTCTACCCCTCCATGCTCCCTAAAGGAGAATCGACCTAAATTTCAAAATTTTAGGTAGGGAGGTTTAGTCCCTTTATTGGAAATATTTAGAAAGTAATTAGGTAGGGAGGTTTAGTCCCTTTCTTGGAAATATTTAGACATTTAGGTAGGGTAGTTTTATTCCCTTAATCAGAAATAAGGTCGAATTCTCGTTAATTGAGAGAGCATGGACGGGTACTCTCCCAAGGAAATTGTCCAAAGCATGACGATAAGAGGCTTCTAGGCTATCGGAATCAATCTTCTCAGTAAAAGAAAACGATATTTCCAATGAAGAGACTAAACCTCCCTATCTAAATTTCCTCTTGGAAAAAATTTGGGTGGAATTCCCTTTTAGGGAGCATGGAGAGGGGTA